GCGTGTGTGAGTGTTGATGAAGAGAATGCGCTCATTTAGACTCACACCCACACCCTCACTTGACAGTGTTCATCAATGAACAAAACTTGATAGAAACGAGTGATTACGAATTTCTTATTGTGGAAGGAAATTGTCTATGTCGTGCATACTATGAAACCACTCAAACACAGTTCAACGTTTATTTAGCAGCTAAACATCAAATAGAAACGAGTAAAACACTGGAAAACGAATTAATAGAAGTCGATCATCGCCGGATCCATCGTGATTAATATACCAGAAGAAGTTGAGCAATTAGGTTTGATGACATGCATGCAAATGAAATAGAATCGTCTTCAAAATCATCTGACCAAGAGATAACCGAAATAGATCAAAAACTATTGTCGACCGAGGCGGCGGAGCGATTCTAATCTAGGGGAGGCTCAAAACTTCTCAGAAACGATAGGAAGGTGATGCTCGGGGAGGGATATTTTCTAGCTTTTCCACTAACTTTTATCAAGGGATATCGGATGTCTCAATGTGTTTTTGAACAGCATCTATTTGACATATATACCCTTCTATAGGCGACTGATATAATCTAGGAGCGTTGTCGAAAGATGTCCTATGGAAGTTAAGAATTCTTCGTGGTTTTTTCTTTGGAATTTCCAGGATTCATTTTAATTAAAAAATTTCTCTATTTCATAGCATAAAACATAATATAACTTTACTAAAAAAAAATCCATGATTTTCAAGAATAAGCGTTCATCTTTCAGCTGTTCTTCATCTGAAGTCTTGTCTACTTTTATCTTCGGTGTCATATGCCTGTGTTTGCCTCAATTTCGTTCAGTTGACGATGAAAGAAGTACCTAAGTACAGGAACTTTCAGAAAAGTTTCGAAAAAATGAAATNGTTATGAGATGGGAAAAATTGTTCTATACATTTTTGCTGGAGTGATCCGAATTACCCCAACTAGATTGACTGACTGATCCGAATTACCCCATTTGGGGTAATTCGGATCAGCACTTGTAGTCTTTTGCCATTTTAACTATAACTTTTTTCTGGTGAAAGGTTTTTAAAAAATTCTTTCAGCATTAGAAAGAGGACAGTTTGTTCTAATTGCACTGCAAAAATCACCTTGTTACGACGTACAATGATTGAGAGCGAATAAAAACAAAATCGATTTTCTAATTTTTGATCCGAATTACCCCTAACGAGTGTAATTCGATTAGACATTCTTTACGGATTTAAGCAAAATATTATTGAATTTATTTCGAAAAAATACAAAAAAAAAAAAATTTTTTTTTTCTTTTCATACAATTATTAGTCTTTTGCTTTTTATACAAGAATCGAAAATTGAAGACGAAGAAATGATGTTTTAATTGTTGACGAACGAAGATAATTAGATAAGGACTTTTGTTGAATATAAAGAAAGTTTTTTAAGGTGACGATAATTTTATCTTTTTCTTTGTTCTACTTTATATATATTTGTTGTCTATTGCAAAAGAATGTCTTAATCTTTTTGATTTATAATCTACAATAACTAAACCATCATTTGATTTTTTTTTAAAAAGATTAAAAACATTCGTCATATCATAGAACTACATGTTTTATGAATATTACGATGTATATTATTTATTCAAGATGAGAATAATTTAATTTATGGCATTTATACCTTGTCAACTTTTGATAAAATGTTCATTGATACTATTAATATAAAGTCTTGTTAATGAAAAGATTTTTCTATAAGATTGACTTCTTACTAAAAATACTTTAAGCAGATCAAATGTAATTTTATCATATTACGCGAGTGTAGTACAATAGAATATGTTTTGATCTACAATTTTATCAAGTAAAAATTCATCTTGTCACTTTAGCTTTTGTTAAATTCCAATTCCAATATCAAGATAAGATGGAAGAAAAAAGAAGTTCGTCTATAACATGAAGTGTGAGAGACAATTTAATTGAATACATCGGCTAGAATATAAAGTTGAGACAAACTTTTCCCTAATGCATGACGGCAACAAGTGATGACAAGATAAAAATGTCTACAAGCTAAATAAGATTAAATAATGATGTTCAGCTACTGAAAGAAAAAAAAACAAAAAACAGAATGTTCAAATAGTCTAATTTAAAGAAAATGATCATAATAATAAATCGTCTTGATTCTCGAAGAATTAAAATAACTCTATCTATTATTATAGTATATAAATCGGTATATGTTTGATTAAAAATTACATATCAAAGTAATCTTTTTCAAAGAATAGAATAGATATTTTTCTTATTGTTAACAAGTTTTTATTACAAGAATATATCATATTAATTATTTTAATTTATTTTTATAAGCTTTTTTTTTTTTTTGTACAACTATTAGTTTTTCATTTACGGATAAGTAGAGACATTGTGATATGAATATTAAGTGTTGTTTTTTTTTTTTTTTTTCAATTAATAGAAGTACAGAGAGTAATTATTCAAGTAGATATTACTGAAGAAGAATTTTGTCTAATTATGTTTTTATTTTATGTTAGGGAAAAATTCTCATTTTAAATATTGATTCGATTAAAATTGAAAAATATTCTGTAATTTAAATTGATATAAATTAAAATGGTTGATTTTTTTTTTGTTATTATTTGATTTTATATTTGTAGAAAAAAAATCAATTTCAATCGACATATATTCAAAAGAAAAGATTATTTTATTGAGAATCTTACTAATGAAGAAATATTTCTAATATGAACACGAACTAATCTTGATATTATGGAAGATTGATCGGATCAATCAATCTTCGAACAATATTAAAAAATTTATTTCATCATATAAAAAATTTTCTTATAAGAACGTATTTTTGTCAGAGGTAGCTTTATTATTTAATCATTTATTATCTATTGATATTATCCAAATTAATCAATAAATTATAAGAAGAAATTTCATAAATAGAAAAATATGTTATTACTACAGTATTTTTATTTTTTGTAATTTTTCTTATTTTATAAAGTTATTGTTTAAATAATATTGCCTACTAAATATCGTATCTTGAATACTAAATATTTATTTAAATCAATCAAAGCACAATAAAAATATATATATGATAAAAGCATGTCATATTGTAATATAATTCCATCATCTGCATATATTTCAAGACTTTGAACCGTCTACTAGATTGTTTTAAATCATGCAATAGTTGAACTTAGTTAATCATAATGATGTTTTGCCAATAGATAAAAATATATTGATTATTTAGTAAATATTCTTTCATGACACAAAAATAAAAAATGTCTCAACATACTAAACATCTCATTTGTTTTTTTTTTTTTTCTCTACATATCAATTAATGTCAGTCTATGTTTTACCAATCAACTATTATGTTAAACAAAGTAAAGAATGTCATAAAAATCGAATTTCTTTTCTATGATCATTTTTCAACTTATATGTTAGTTTAGAATATCAATGGCATTGACATTTTCTATTCAGATCGCTTGGGCATATGTAAGATGATGGATAGAACATAAGTCGGTCATGTCTATTCAATCGACATCGAGTTCGCTTTCATTTTTTTTTTCTTCTTTCTTTTTTTTTTTTTTTACTAGGGGAAAATCTGGAGCGTTGTTGCACTACCGTGCGCATTAACTCTTCTTTCTTGCAATAAGCATCATAACATATTCTTCTCTTCTTGCCTTCATGCAGTCATGCATTCTGACTAGAAGAACACGAGAACGTGCATTATTGAAACAACAACAACAGAAGATGTGTTCTTTTGTTTGCCTTCCGTAAGTGGTCTTGAAATAATTAGACAAACAAACAAGCAGTCTAAGAATAGAAATTTTTTATTACAAAAAAAGAAGATCAAATGTAAGCACGATTCATAATTATCGGTCAATGATAGACAAATACTAATGTTTTATTGATTTAAATCAATTCGTTTTTCTCGAATTTTTATGAACATATGATAAACATAAAAAAACCTATGCCTGTTCTTTGTCATCGATACGTAATAAGAGATAAGCTCGTGCATATACTTGTGTAACCAACAAATTGAAGTGTGTATCTATCTTTCTAGCATTCATATTATCCTTACTAAGGCACGTATTGGTATAGAGTAAAAAACGAGAACTCTAACGCATATTTGTATTTCTACTCCTTGATTTAAAAAAAAAAAGATATTAAGTAAGACGAAGAAACAAAAAGAAAACAGAGAAGTCCATCATTACAACTTCGACTAATAACATAAAATAATCATCTAACTGTAAGTAAAAACAAAAAGGATTATATGCGTAGTTGTATAATAACTACTCTGTATATTCTATAATTAATATCTATTTTGACTCATAGTAACTGAGTTGATAAAAATTAAAGACGAATGTATGTCTACTACTCGTGAGTCAATGACGCTTAATATCCTTTTTAGTATTGTAAATAATGAGAAAACTTGACTCAACCATAATAAAATGAAGTCAGGAAAGAAAACCAGATACGATAGTAAATTTACGTCTACTTGAACCATCTCTATGATTCGAGACTAGAATTTGAGATATAAGAGTAATTGAATTTGACAGTTCGAATAGCTGAGTTTGTTTTTTTTTTTTTTTATATATATATATATATGTGATGTGTCGTACCAATCCATTGAAGCTATTGAGTATTTCTAGAAGAAGTTTGACGACTAGATGATCTTTTTTTTTTTTTCTTTTATAAGAAAAGAAGAGAAAGAAAAACTAAACATATAGTAAAAAGTAATAGTATCTTTTTGTTGTTGTTCTCTTATTTCTAACTTGCCATCAAACTTATGTTAGTTTTCATGTTAATGTACACATTAGTTACTAATATTACTTCTGTCATAAATGATTCAATTAATTTGACTAAATAGAAACAACATTTCTTTTTTATTTTCTATGTTCATCAAATGACAATCGGCTAATATTTTCTTCTAATTTTTTGAAACATTTTTTTTTTTGTTGTTCTTCATTATTTTTCTTTTCTTTTTTTCAGATATTGTAGGAAAAACTTAATCGAAATGATTATATTCTCAAATGAAAATGAACATCAATCATTTTGCATTTATTATTCTATTCTTTATTGGATGTTTATCATTAATCAATCAAATAAATTGTTCGAATAATAATACATCAACAATGTTAATTTTAGCAACATCATCATCATCAATCAATAATTATTTTAAACGTCGATTATCAAGACATTTTATTACGAAAAATAATAATTTTACTGATGATAATATTACTTCATTAACAAATCGTATACGAATACTTGATACTTCATATAATTATAATGCAATGAAATATTTACCAAGTAAATAAAATTAGAATATAAATTTTGTTTCTTTCTTTTATTTTATTTTTACTTTTTTTAAGCTTTTACAAAAACACAAATTAAAGTTATTATAACTGTTGTTATTATTATTAGTTTTATCATGTTTATTATAGCTATATTTCGGTTTAAGTAAGTTATATGCTCACATAATTGGATATATGTGTATGACGTTATGTCTGATTTGATATATGAATATATTTTTTTTTTCATATTTAACCATCGATCTTGTCCATACATATTTCATCGTTATCGAAAGAAAAACGAGAGAGAGAGAGAGAGAGGGAAGAGGATTGCGATTAACGTCGAGACAAGTGAACATAAAACATGCATTTATTTTATTGCATAAACATTGTCTCGAATAGAGTGAAGAGAGTGCAAAAAAGGTAAAAGTTAATGGAAATCCCAACGACTACATACGATTATTTGTAAGTATAACATGTAAATAATCCATATTTCTTTCTTTTGTTGAATAAATTTATTAAATTGTAAGGCATATCACATCATCAAATTGTAACACATTTTTCTTTAGAGAATAAAATTAACTTAATTTAATCTTTTTTATATTTGATAAGATACCGATCTTATTAATACTTTGATTCAGATATTTAAAAATAAAAGAAATGATGTTCTATTTTCGGTGCACTCATGCACCTAGAGAAAACTATCCTTATGACCTATGTTTATAATGTATTAAAGTCATGAAAGTGCACTTTTTATCTGCTTTCCATCAATGGTTTCTTAGTGCTTTTCCATCATTCCATCAATGTCACATCCGTTGTAAAGAACAGTAGGTGTTCATGTACTTCATCATGATGTCTTTCCATCAAGTGACATATATGATAATTTTTTAATACAACTGAAAAGTGTCGTTATTGAATTATTTATAATGCTCTTATTATATATATACATACATATAATCTTAAAAAGAGTTTTATATCTATAACTATCTAAAGATTGTTAATACGTATATTAAGAAAAAAAAAAAAATTACATAATATGAATTTAAATTTTGTCGAAATATTCTTGATTTATTTTTTTTCATGACACACAGGTAAAGTTCAAATTATAAATCTTATACATAATAATTTCGATCTTAATTAATAAAGTACAACAAAAATTAAACATATAAGTGTCTGTAGACCTTTATTTCAGAGTTATAGTTATTTTACTGAAATGTACCAACAAATGAAATGGTGGTATTGTAATCTGAAATTTCGTTCACATTAGCTAAAAAAAATGTTTTCTTTGCAAGACATTGAAAATTTCCAAAAATCATTCATATCCTATGAAACATGTGAGAATATCAAATTTTCAGAACATCCAAGTCATAAATAGATCTATATGTGAACGAAATATGATCATTAAATTTGTTGATACACACTGTAAACTAGAGCCTAAAATTCCAGTAAAATAGCTATAACTCTGAAAAGAAGAGATCTAAGGATACTTATCCTTGTGAAATATTCCATAGCTTAGTGGCATCTAGCCTGATACATAGAGTCTGAAATAAAAAATGATTTATCAGCTGAAACAAATCTTTCGTTAGACTAATATACTTTGTAATATGGCTTTTAATGTTGACATTTATGTTCAAGCTTATCAATAGCAGAGTCTATCGAATAAAGCCTTCCATATGGCTTAGGAATTTTTTTTCTTAACGATGATACCAGTGTACTCAAAATATTTTGAAGTTGTGGAAAATCTATTTCTCGCAAAATTTAAGAGAAGTTTCTTCTTTGTCGATTAAAAATTTTTAGATTATTCATCTTTTTTCTGATAGAAAACCTGAAAGAAAGTGACTAGAAATTCTGATGTAAATAAAATAGAAAACTGAAACTTTCATCTTTAGAAAAACTAGATAAAACACTAATTATAATGAATTTTCAATTGTCTGATGTGCATCTGATTCTCCAATGAAATATATACAAAACTACCTAAGCGTCAGATTTTTGGATTTAGTTATTCAGAATTCATAGCTATTCTAGTAGAAATTCTTAGTCAATTTTTCAAACAATTATTGTGAAAGAAAAAGAATTTTTTTTTGCTTTTTCTTATGTTAAAAGGAAGCATTTTTTCGCCACTTTTTTTTTTATAAATTTGATTAAAAAAAACTTCGAAAAATATCTTATGAGAATCCATAATGACACCATCTCCTGTTTCCAATGCTGAAACTCACAGCATTCTACCTTATTTCTATCAGCACTTATTCAAAAAATATCCAACCGCCTTTTGTTTTAAATGGCCATTAGAATATGTTTAGAATGCTTACTTTTTTCGTTTCAGTTATATAATGTACCTCAGGCTTTTGTCAAAATTTATAAGTTAAAAGCGCCCTCAGTCAAAAAGAAAACATGCACTTTGCAGGTACTCTCCGTATTTTGTTCGAACGGAAGGCGATAAAATAAGACTAAAAGATGTAGACAATACAAACACTATCTATTATGTGTAAAAACAAAAACAAAAAAAGATCTTTAGCCCTTGCAATGCTAATATCTCCTTGAGTAAAGCATCGGAGAATTTAGAGTCTATGGGAACTTTTGCTCTTCTCATTAAGATCCATGTGTTTTAGCGCTTTCAAAATATTCTGATAAGCCATTCTGTAAAGAAAGGGGGGGGGGGAGGGATCTCATAAGCCACCATATTCCCTTGTTAGAAGCGCAAAAAGGCTTCGTAATTCTATTGTCTACATTCTTTAATTTTATTTTGAATTACACATATAAATTGTTTTGTCATATAAGATAGAACTACAATAATAAATTCCTTTTTTCTTCTACATCAATTTTCTTCGTTCAATTATATTGAATAAACGATGTATAAGTGTATTGTCTATCACTAATAAAATTAGTGACTGTTGTCTGATCAACATGTTTTGGATTTATCTTCTCTTTTTTGTTTTGTTTTGAAGGAATGCATGTCGCAATCAAGAAACAGACAATTTACAAACAGAAATCATGCGAAATCGTACTTTACAATATAATGAACCAAGTTCGAGACGTGGTAGTGTAGGAGTAAGTATTAGAGATTATTTTATGTGCAAATAATAATTATATAATAATGCTTTAATAGAAAACACAAAAAGAAAACGAGAATGTAAAATACAACTAACATGTTTTGTATTTGACGCTTGAGAGCAGTCAATAACGATAAAAGTTATTGCTTTTAGTTAACCAAGTAATGAGACAGCGATCTGTACTCGGCATTGCCATTAAAAGAAACAGAACAAACATAGAAAACACATAATAATTTATTAGGAAAAAAAAAAACGAGAACGATACACAAAAGAGGCCGGCAGTTCATAGACTAACAAGCATAAAAGAAAATCGTTCAACAGATTGTTCTAACAATCAACATTGCTTTATTCTCCTATGAATTTGACTTTGTTTTTTTTTTCTCAAATTGAGAATAGCGACAGAAATACATATGTCTGTTTGCAAATGCTTATTATCATTTATTGACTTTTATGTTAAATGAGCAGCAGCAAGTCCCACGAATGTCTTATTTCTTCCGTCATAGTTTATTACTGTATATATATGTGCATGTATGCATATGAATCTTTTTTCCGATAAATTTTCTTCGTCCTATTATTCGCTATCTATTCTATATTATCATTATTATTATTATCATCATTATCATCGTCGTCATTCCAAAAAAGAATAGATTCATTATCATTACTTGCACAAATATACTGAATCACTATTGACAAAAATATTTCCGTTAGTTTTATAATCAAATACTTGACAATAATATTTAACAGAAAGAGATACGAGAAATTTGATATTATAATGTAAGTATATAACGGTTCATTATACATATAATAAAGAGTAGGAGTATTTTTTTTTTCAAAGTCTATTCTTATTTGTTGCAAAAAACATGAAGGAAAAAAATTTCCTTTTTTCATCATTCCACTTGAGACATTTAATAATAGAGTATACTATAGAAGAATAGAATCATGATTGTTTTGTTCGAGAATGAAAAAGTGTTGATTATTGAAAAAAAAAACAAATATACTCTTAGATCATTGTTCTATTCATGTGACGATATGTCGTGACAATGAAAAAGATCTACTCGGCTAGATAATTCATAACTCATTCACTTGATAGGAATATTTCAGTAAACGGTTTCTTTTTATAACGAGAAAACTTTTTCCCAATGATCATGTTTTAGTTTTTTTTTTCTAAGATCAATTCCTATATTGAATATATATTGTGAATTAAAAAACAAAACAAAAAAGAAAGAATACAAAAATTTAACACGCTTCGTTCCGGATTTGCGTGACATACTGTTATGTACTAGCATTATTATTGTTTTTTTTCTTTTTTTCGTTTATGTTCAACGTAAAGAGCAAAATAGACGAGAGAAATCACGTTCTCAACATTTGTCTCGATCGAACTTCTTTTTCTTTTTTTTTTTTTTTTATATTTTTCTTTTATCTTTTATGTCAGAATGTTCAAGGACGAAACAACACCAAAAATTGTTCCCATCCTATATAGAGTAAATGATTGTTACAATAGTGAACAACACAATCTGTTAGAATTATTATAAGTATTTCCTATAGAACACAGTAAGATATCAAAATGCTTTTCACTTTTTCTTGTATTTGTTACTATTGCTTAATCGTAATTAGACGAGAGAAATGCTTTCTATAAATTGCTTTATTTTCATATCCTTAAGGCTTTTTTACGGAATCGTTACTTATATATATATATATACATGTATGTTAATAAAGTGACTAATAGCTTTCTAAGATACGATTTTTATTTGATTAATGCAAAGCTAAATAAGAGCGAAATCAAATTTTTTTTCTTATTAGTATACGTTTAGAATGTTAACAAAATGACATGTGAGTTGATTGCATAACTACCTAGTAGAATTGATATGCTTATTCTTTAGTTGATGGTATATATATATATATGAATGGTTAGTTCGTCTTATTGGATGAAAGAGAAAAAAAAAATAGTATAAATATATATAATTTTTTGTTGTTCACCTACTTTTCTTTCTTCTTCTTTACACCATTAAATGAATGTCATTGTAGTTAGAAAATTGGAAATGGTAAATATAGACATCTATATAGATATAAAAGAATTTAATCATAAATATTCTTATGTTTTTTTAGTATTATACTCGAAAATATAGTCGAACAACAAGTATTCGTTCAGACGATCAGATAAATAATTCGTTACCAACTAAACGACTTAGTATTCCTGCTTGTGATCACTCGTCAAAACTAGCAGCTGTCGTTGTTTTACCGTCTTCACCCGTAGATACAACAGACGTTACACATCATCATCATCATCATCATCATCATGTCATCTCCTCCTGTGACACATCGAATATTCCTAATCAACAAATATCAATTACTTCAACTTCATCTATTAATATAAAGCCAGTTGTACACAACTCAAGTTCTCCTATTGGTACGAATCAAGTAAGTATTCATATATATATATATCATTTTTATATCTATCTTTGGTAAAAAAAAAGAAAGAAAAAAACCAAAAGAATATAATTAGTATAAGAGATAAAATCATCATGTCAAGGAAACTAGGTGTTGCTCTTTACATATGTCAATCGTAATTACAACTCCATCAGTCTGTTGAAACACATATATACACTTGTTTATCTTACTACTAGATGTAACCTCGTTTTTCCTAATCGTTTTTTTTTCAGGTCTTATTTGTTTGTGCACTAAACATTTGTATACATGCATTCTTATAGACAAAGAACAAATATAGAACGATAAGATGGTTAAGATTAACGATCAACAATCGCATTTATTACCAAATATGTGGGATACTTTTTTCATTGCTGTAAGCGTTTGAATCATTCTATATATGCTTGAATGACAAGCGGAATGCCGATTAAGGGTGTACATCTCATTTTTTTTCTTCTCTTGCTTGCTTGCTACCAACGAACAATCAATTTTTTATATCTAAATTATTTGTTTCATAAAAATCATCAATATATTATTAGTAGCTTGTTCACAGAATAGTCTTATTTCGATTGATATAGATCGATTAAACAAATGTCGAGACTGTCAATCTCTTATAGACAACATAGATGAACGCAAATAAGGGCAATTTGTATGATATTTATCGACGACACACGCTTTCTATGTATCTGTTATACAGATTGATAAATGCCATGTATAAATTTGCTTACCGTTTTTCTCTCTATCTAAACTCATATAGATGTATACACGTACATACATACAGGAAGAACATTGATTCGTCTAGGGACAAAAATCAATATCCTGTGCATGCATGCAAGTAATCAGTTATGTGCAAAATTCATTTACACATGCTCACTGCGTAGTGATATCAAGAGGAAAATCATTTCAATTTTCTTTTCTACTCATATTTAACCTGTTATTGAAATTCAATTTTTATTGATAGAATATAATCTTCAATTACAATTCGAGGTATTTCATATATATATATATAAAGTCGTTAAATTTTCTTAGTAATGTAATGCATTTGAAGGCTTTTTGACAGATCAAGATCAAGTTTCTTAAAAGAATCAAATGTCAGTTACAAAAAAAAAAAGAAGAAAAGAAATAGACATTAACAACAGTATTATAAGCAATGAAGTATATAAAAGATTTAGTCTTCTCTTCGTACACAGCATTAACACGTCTGATGCACACACTATGTGTTTTCAGCCTGTTAGCTTATGATTTCGTTAATGCAAATTGAATCTATATGTTGCTACTATAGAGATGAGTCGCTTTTGATGATAGTGATGATAATGCATGTCAGTTATGTCTCAGCCACTAGTCACTCAGAAAAATACTAGAAGAGAGAGAGAGAGAAGAGAGAACATGTCGTTTTTTTGCTAAGAATCTCTTTCTTTCGCTAGCTTGTTGTCTGTTACTATACTCGCTCACTTTGTCAGCAACAAGAAATAAATATCATAAATGGAACAGAGAATACATAGAACGAGAAAATACTCTTGCTGTCATGTTAATGAAAAAGAATGTCGTTCTTCGTATTGAATAAAGAACAGTGGAACGTAGTCGAGTCAATTGGTTTGTTTCGTCTATGTGTATATCATCATTATCATTATTATTCTACTTGTTTTTAAGATAAACTACCTGTCATCGTTTAATAATTTCTCTTGCTTTCATTTTGTTTTGTTTTGTTTTATTCTTTCTTTCATCACAATTCTTTCTATTCATCATCAATCACGTCGTTTGATCCTCTGCACGGTTCCACCACATATTTTGTGCCGTCCAAATACAGTACGTTATATATTTGTTGTTAACGTGCATGATCAACGACATCGATATTCAACTAGAAAAAGAAATAATACAAAACTGTCGTCGCCAACACTTCGTAAACTTTGTCTACCGTGTATAACAACACGACATCATATTCGTCATCATACAAATAAAAAGAAACCATCAAAATTTAATCAACATCATATTGTAACGGGTGTCCCTCATGATAATAACGGTGTTGAATCATTACAACAATTTGAAGTGATTTCAAGAACATATGATACTAAATCGACAATACCGGTTGGACATAATAATGACTATTCATATGAAAATAATACTAATCATTCTCACGAGCCACACCAACATTTTGAAATTTCATTTCAGAATGAAAAAACAGAGGAGAAAAATAATGAAATATCGCTTGTAAAAATAGAAAACAAACCGATATCATCAGAAATAGTAGAATCAGAATTATTACTATCATCATATACAAATGAATTACCGAGATTAACTGAAGATGACGTGGTAGGTATATACATATATATATATATAGAGAGAGAGAAAAAAATAATAAGTACAAGTTCGGTTAATTTAAGTAGAGATAAGTAATGATTATCATTTCTTTTTCTTTAGTGTGATGATCGAACGCCATTGTTAGCATCGGAACTTGCATCAACTATTAAGGATTCATCAAACCACACAACTCGTAAATATTCTTTCAATGCGCTCTTACCACTCGTACGTCCTTCAAATTCACATCCGCTTTGTTCTTCATTGACGTCTACGAATGCCGACGGCAATAATACTAGTAACGGTAACGGTGTCAATTTAAAATCTCATCATCGAGTCTCGCTTACATCGGCATTACGTCGAAGTTCATTTGCTAAACAACCACAAACATTTTGTTCAACTGTTGATTCAACAAATACAACACGAGCAATATCATCACCTACACATCCAATTGAATCCGATAGTAGCGATCAAACATCAATATTATCAAATCTCTCAAATTGTTTAAATAATAATCAAGATAATAATTCTTCAAATATAATATCCACAAAAAAAATATTATATCAAAAAGATTTCATGCAAAAAATTGATCGTTTTCGATTTATTGATGATAGTGCTTCAAGTACAACAACAGTAACATCACCTGTTGAAAGTATTGAACATGTTAATAATCGTCAAACAACATGTAATAATTTAATAAAAAGTACAATTGAACAAATTGATGATTTTGTTCGAACAAGATATGATACTAATGATAATGATGATGTTAATTCATTAATTAATTGTCTTAATTCAAATATATTAACAAATGGTTCATATTCAGATTTAAATATTCTTAATAATAAATCATCAACTAAAACAATTCTACGTCCACAAACATTTACACCGGTGAACAATAAATCTTTTCAAGTAATAACACCAGTAAGTCGAATAATTATGTTTCCTAATTATCTTCTATGACATTTTTCATTTTTTTTTCTTCTTCTTCTTTTGAATATTATTATTATAAACAAACTATTCATTTTTGTATATTTATCTAAGCATAGTTGTAAATAAAGAGACAAGGAAAAAAAAATAATACATTAAGTATTAACATACTAACAGTCTTTTTTTAGCTAGCTGAATTTGACATACTACGTATATATCATCGTTATTTTTTTTTTGTAATTTTTATTAATAGACTTTATCTGGTTGTCAACAACATAAATACCACCAATCAACACCTATTACTATTCCACATTCAATTACATCTTTACCATTATCAAAACAACGAAATCAAATCGATATAAATGGATATTCACGTTCAATGGATTTTCAAACACTAACAAATAAACATGAACTTATTCGACCAGTAACAATTATTTCAACAATAAATGAAACATCATCATCATCATCAACAGCTACACTTACATCATTACGTAATTCAACTAGTTTAGAATTTGATGATAATATTAAACCGTCCGGTGTTCTTGTTGATGATGATTTTTTACCAATGTCATCACCAGTTGATGAACATTTTTGGGATATGAATATTAAAAATTTCAATTTATTAAATAATAATAATCATAATAATAATAATAAATGTTTTCCAAATGTTGGTTCATCACCTGATATTGAAGTTAAACATTTTAATTTACAACAATTTAGTACATTATCAGAAACATCATGTGATGAAGACGATGATGATAATGATGATGATAGTACAACATCAACTGATCAATTAGAAGCATTTTCTTTATATGAACATAAAGCAGATGAAATAGAAAAATCAATTGTTTTAACTAAATCTAATTTACCAGTACAAAAAATCTTGGAAGAAGAAATAGTTGATAAACCTTTATCAAATCCGTCCATCAATTTAATAGAACAGTTTAATACTAACAGTAGTTCAGTTCCAATATGTATGTATTCAAAATAATCTCGACAACAACAAAAAAAACCAACTAAACCTGTTTTTATTTTTCTTACACTTTAGCTTCTCTTCAATCAAATGATGAATCATTATTAGAAAAATTTTCCTTACCATCACAAATACCAATATCTTCAGATTTTCTTTGTGATAATATAGTATCATCGAATCAACATTCTCAAGCAATATCTGAAGAAGATGATACACAAGATAGTTCAACAAATGATGCATCAGAAGGTGATGAAAGTGCTGATAATGGTGAAATTGATCTTGTACAAGAATTTGAATTATCAAAAAAAGAACAAGAAAATAAAACGAATAATTTATGGACAACAATTAATCATGATGTATATATTATACAAGATAATGATTTACTTTCAGCTGTGATTACAACACCAACAATTGTAAATCGTAATACTCAACCAACATCAATTATGAAAATATCAAATACTAAAACATCGGATAGTATTGATGAACAACAACAACAATCACCACAACCACAACCACAAGCACAACAGCAACAACAAACATTAAAACCAAAAGTACGTTTTAATCTTGATCCACAATATGAACGTGAACGTGAGTGGAATAAAGTGAATAAATTACTTGGAAATAGTGTTGAATGGACTGATGAATATGAAGTATAAAAATTTGTTTTTTTTTCTTTTTTTCTTTCTCTTCTTGTTTTTTGTTTTTGAACTTATATTCATGTCTTTTCATGTTTTTGTTGTACAGTTATCTATTGTTTATTTTCAATTAAGTAGTTTATTAAACGATTGCCAGATATATCAAGTATTATATTCAATAGAATTTAATTTTAATTTCAATTTTATATTTCATATGATAATGTTTCACATTATTTATTAGATGTCAGTTGGACAACGTTATATGTCAAGCGAAGAAAAAAAGAAAAAAGAAGGCGTAAATATTTTGTTTTAAATATATAGTTATAATGTAGATAAAAGAAAAAAATTAAAATTTTTTTTTTGTTTTTGACTCATTTAATATTAAAAAAAGTTACATTTATTGATCAGCTTTATTTCAACTAAAATATAATTGCTTTTAATTACTCAGTATAGTATATAAAAGAGCTAACTTCTTTTTTTCTTTTTTGATAATAAATATTTTATTTCTTATAGAATTTCTTTGTCCTTGAATGAATACATTTATGTACTTAGAATATGAGAATAAGATTATTCAATTATTTACGATTTTAGAAAGAAGAACATTAAGATTTTATTCAAATAATTTTGTTCGATTGAGTAAAGTACAATCGGATGTATTTATTTTTCTTATGTTCTTCGTTGTTATATCGAAGAACATATTTAATCATCTAAAAATATAAAAGGAATTTTTCTTGTATAGGATTCTTAAAAAGAAATTCATTTCTTATTCATATTCACATTCTAAATACATATAATAGAGCTTAAATTTTAGAATTTTACAAACTGACAAGAAAAAGGTGAAATTTGTTTTTGTTGATCTAAAAAGATTTGATTTTAAAAACAAATTTTTAATCTAAAGATAAAAATGTTAAGAAAGAAGAGGAGGTGATAAGGTCGTAAATTGGCTCATTGAAATTTTTTCAGCAGGACTTCTACTATCTTATATCAAACGAAAGATCACGCTGAGATAAGTATTTTCAGTGACGAGACTAATTATTTTTTTTTACCAACGAATAAAAAGTTTGTACAAAGTCAAAATTAGTTTCATAACCAATCTAATATATCACTTCTATTCATATGAAGACAACAAGAAAAAACAATTTGTTTTTATTTCAACTAGTAGGTCATCTGATCCTTTAACATTTCTATAAATATCACCCTTTTGGCATTAGTGGTTCCGATTTCATAACCGAAATATGATTTCAAAAAACTCGAAAAACCATCTCTAGACTATTGGACGTGACCAGTGTAGATCTTCGATCTCGATAAAAGCAAGAGCAAATATCATCATTTTCTTCTAATCATAAAGAGCCCTTTACATTAGCTACTAAGTCTACTTATTACAATTAAAAAACGGTCGAAGAAAGATATCTCACGGTGGCACAGATTGTCATTGAAGTGTCGATTTTGACTAAAAATCGGTAGTATTTCTAGTACTTGTCTTGGAATTCTGCTTAAAGCAAAATATTCAACGTCTGATTGGTGCTCAAAATAAAAAACTAAGTCGATCTATATATGTTTCAAAACCATTTTATTTTCCTCGAAAAATTTAGCTGGGGTCCCTCTCAGGGATGGGTCGAAAAAACTATTCATTCGAAGCCCAGTTTTATCTGTAAGAAACAATGTCTCTATCTTCTTTAATATTTTATTATAACCCTTAAAGAAATATGTCTATACAGATGAAACTGAGTTTTGAATGAATTTATTTTTCGACCTATTTCTGATGGGGACCCCAGCTGAGTTTTTCGAGAAAAATAAAACGTTGTTGAATGATTTTGAAACATACATAGATCGACTCGGTTTTTTATGCTGAGCACAAATCTGACGTTGGATGTTTTATTTTAAGCAGAATTCGAAGACAAATACTACTGAAATTTAGTCAAAATCGACGCTCCAATGACAGTCTGCGTGATATTTATAGTAGTATTAGAAAATCATATGATGTACTAGATGATGTGAAAAAATAGTTAATCTCGGCATCAAAAATGCTTATCTCAACGTGATCTTTCGTCTGATATAAGATAGTTGAGGTTCCGCTGAAAAAAGTCTTATGGGTAGATTTTCACATCTCCTTCTTTCTATGTTCTTTGATGATGATTCTGAAGTTTTAGATCGTCATGATGAAAATTTTATATGATATTTGTGGAAATTATAACTGATCTAAAAATAGGTTTTTTTTTACTCATTGAATATCTTATTTAATTTTGGTTTTTGATTGATAATGATGATCCATTTGTATTTAATGCTTGTATAGATTAAATTCATTTTGTTGTTTCTATAAAAAGAAATCATATAGTCTATCATCTATTCGACATTTATCATAAAACCTTACTGTCATATGAGTTGAAATATATAATTAATATCAATATCAGTAAGTCCATGAGAGAATATTTATATAGAAAAGAACTATGATGATTAATCTAATATTTTTTTATAGTAAAATCTGACGTTTTATTTGTCTTTTGTTTTGTAATGATGATTTATAGATTTTTCAGAAACTTATTAACTATATCAACCTAAGTTTATATAATTAATAAAATTCCCAATGTTGAACTAGGTTTTTGTATTAATTTAGAACATTTTGAAATCTCATTTGGTATGTTCAAAGATTCGAAAATAAATAAACTTAATCTTTTTTATACTAAATTTTGTCAGAAAAGTTTTTTTTCAGCTAATTCTTATCGAATGCTGTTAGATATTATTGTTTTGCTTATCATTATAGTAAAATTATGATCAGATGGTCATAAGTTAAAAAAACATACAAAAGCAAATGTTAACAAATTTTTTTTATCATTGTTTTTTTCAGTTTTTGTGTTACATATGGAAGGAACAAACTCGAATTTGTTTTTTTTTGTTATTGCATTGATAAGAATGTTTAAAAAAAAATTAAGGTTAAGGAAAATCAATAATATTTTTGTTTTTTTGCTGAATTTTTCAAATTACTTTAGAGTAAATATTTTGCCTTGTTTCTCTACACAATAGACATATCAGAATAAATCTTGAAGTAATTAGAATTATTCATTATGAATATTAAAATGAAATTCATTATCAAACAACTATTTATTATGTTTTATCTTTGAAAGATTAACATCGTTTATTAAAAATTTCCATGTGAACTCCTGCACGGAAATGTGTTTTATCATCTACTACGAATATATAACTTTTATTCAATCGAATAAAGTCTAGCATCTTAAATAATGATTAGAAAGTGACTGATAAGGAAACTTTGGTAAATAATAAATCATTTTTGAGATAAATCTTACTTGATTATATAAGCCCTATTGCGGTTGGACAAAGCCTAAAAAGATTCATGGAAATTAGTTTTTTCTTTTCTAAACTTTAAATTTGAGAGTAGATCAAGACGATGATCTGAACGAAGATCAAAGCATTTTGTTAGAAAGCTTATACTAAATTAATCATAGTTGAAGAAGAAATACTCATAAGCATGAATCCTTTTAGAATTTTACTACTCGGAATATGAACTTCCAAATGAAACAAGACTCCTGTCAAAAGCAATTTATCACTTGACGAGATTCTATTCAGAAACACAATTGTTAATTCGACTATAATATAACCTGAACGTTGTTTTTTCTTTTCAAGGTTACATTAAAAAAATACATTCTTTAGCGTTTCATTTTGTTTTTTGAATTCCATCTAGTACATATAATTTAAACGAAATTATCGTTCAAGAAAATTATACTTTTTGTTTATTAATAAATAATTCACTTGTTAATCATGTCTTACACAAAATAATGAATCTAAATAATTTTCATTGATTAGAAAAAGACAAATGAAAATCTACAAGAATAATATTTTTTGTCTATTTTTTTTTTTTTCATATAAGCAAAGTGTATGTGTTTACACTTTCTTTTCAGAAATAAAACCAAACAATATGTAAAATAAATGCGAAAACCTCGGATTTAAATCCGAGTGTTATGTGTACTTCAAAAAGTGAAAAGGTATATTCACTGTGTTTTTTATCACTAAATTGCAAGGAGAAAATACAGGCGTGCTAAG